TGATTATTAAGATTCTTAATGATCATAATTTTGCAATTATAGAATTATGATCGTTAAGAATCTTAACGATCATAATTTAGCAATTGCAGAATTATAATCGTTAAGAATCTTAACAATCATAATTTTATAATTGCTAAATTATGATCATTAAGATTCTTAACGATCATAATTCAGAAATTGCAGAATTATGATCGTTAAGATTCTTAATGATCATAATTCAGCTATTTCTAAATTATAATCATTAAGAATCTTAATGATCATAATTTAGCAATTATAGAATTATGAACGTTAAGAATCTTAACGATCATAATTCAGCAATTATAGAATTATGATATTTCAGAAATTGCTAAGATTCTTAACGATCATAATTTAGAAATAGCTAAATTATGATCGTTAAGAATCTTAACGATTATAATTCAGCAATTATAGAATTATGATTGTTAAGAATCTTAACGATCATAATTCTGCAATTATAGAATTATGATTGTTAAGAATCTTAATGATCATAATTCTGCAATTGCTAAAATATAATCGTTAAGATTCTTAATGATTAATTTAAACAAGAATTTTAACAATTAATTTAGCAATTTCTGAAATAAGATTCTTAATAATTAATTTGGCAATTTTTAAATTGCTAAATTAATTGTTAAGAATCTTATTTCAGAAATTGCTAAATTAATCGTTAAGATTCTTAATGATCATAATTCTGCAATTATAGAATTATAATTGTTAAGATTCTTAATGATCATAATTTAGCAATTGCTGAATTAATTGTTAAGAATCTTAATGATCTTAGAAAAAAAATCCTAGCAAAGATCCCATATGACAAATTTGCAAATAATAATAAATAAATATAAATTTATATTTACTGTAGTGTTTTTAAATAAGTTTTTAATAATGGCAAAGAATATAATAAAGTCCAGTTAGACCACTCTTCTGCCTTGAATCCACTAGAATACCGAGTAATATTATTTGGAGGTCTGCCAAATTCTGATAGCATTCTTTTTTCTTTTCCATTGTTTTTTAAAATTTGACCAATTTGATTCCATGTAGTTTTTGCAATTATGTGTTGTTCAGTATTTGTTTTGTTTAAAGTTTCATTTTTAAAAAATTTTCCACTCCAGTGTTTATACATCCATGGTATTACACCTTCAAATAAAAGATGCATAATATCAATAGGAAATGAGCATAGAAATTTTGTTGCTTTTAATTCAAATAAAATACTTCTTCCACAAATTCCTAAAAAATTTAATAAATAAATTTAAATATTAATTTTATTGCTTTAACTAAAAAAAAATAAATATACCTGTTTCTTATAAAAATTTCTTTTTAGCTTTATCAGTTGATAATTTTTGCCATTCTTGACTTAATTTATCATATTTATTATGATTACGAAGTGGAAGGTCTTGTATATTATATTTTAGAAATTTGGAATAACTATGAGGAGGTTTTAAAGGATAATAAATATGATTATTTGTTAAATCTCGTACACCTTTTAAATCACACATTCGACATCCCATATATGAATTATGCCCAGTAATACACATAAGTTTTGTTATAGCTGGTATATCTCCACACCAGAATATTACATGTGATTTTAATTTAAACTCCTGTTTACTATCACCATCAAAACATAAAATGCCTTCTAAAATAACAATTAAATTTATAAATATTAATATATTTAAACCAAATTTTACTTTAAATCAAATAAAATAAATACCTTCTAATAATTTTAATTCATTAATTACAGGACGTAAAAAACTATTAAAATCTTTAGGCTGATTTGGTCCTGGAATCACTGCTGTTACTAATAAATTTTGTTTTTTTACATGTATCTCTGGTGATAAATTATTATTTATCATCATTAAAACCCAACAATCTTCTCTTTTTTGTTTAAATAACTGAAATCCATCACAAGCAGCTATTAATAATATATCCCTTTCATCAGATAACAAACCTTCTTCAATTAATTCTTTATATAATTTCCCATCATAAATATCACCTATTTTTTGTAAATTTGAAATATAATTTGCACGATATTTAAGCTCTTTAGCTCTTATTGGATCTGCATATTGCATTTTCAAATGAGGAATTAAAGGAAAATAAAAAGCAGATTTTCGTGATTTTCCTAAACTATCATATCGATTCTCACCACAAATTGCACATGCAGTTTTTTTAACCATATTATTGACAAAAGCATGACAAGAATTAATACAAATATCAATGCAAATATATTTTAAATTAACCAAACTTGATAATTTTTTTTTAGCTAAGTATAAACTAATATTAGAACAATTAAAAATTTTTAAAACTTTAGTATAAATCTCATTTGAAACTGAGGCATTTTGAACTTTTAAATGAAGAAATTGAAGAGCTTTAATCATATTAGGCTCTAAATAATATGAATCTAAAAAATAAAAATTAGTTAATTAATATAAACTTTAAAATAAATAAGTGTTGCATATAATCTATAAGAAATTTTTATTAAACTAAATTTAATTTTCAAAAAATTGTGATAGTAGGTGAGTATTTTAATAAAATGTTATTTGCTGCAAATTATATTAATATAAAAGATAGTATCTAATGAAAATTATATCTATCACAATACTTTAATAATTAAATTTAGTATAATAAAATTTTTTAAATGATTTGATTACTTAAAAATTTCTAACCTTCATTGGTTTCTAAAAGTATATCATTTGAGTATTCTTCTATTTCAAAGTTTTGATACAAATCATCAATATTATCTTGACTATTAAATGAATTTTCTGAATTATTATCTTGACTATTAAATGAATTTTCTGAATTATTATCATTGGTATAAATTGATGAATTTTGACTTAAATTTGGACTTAATTGTATTGTCTCATTAAAGTCACTAGATTCTCTTAAATAAATATTAGTTAGTTAGTATAGTTAAAATTAGTTAAAATTAGGCAATATATTAATTATATATATAAATTTAATTACATATATTGATAATTATAATTTTCTTCTTCATTAAATTCATTTTCTTCAATATTCATTAAATTTAAATTGCTATTATAATCTTTTTCTTCATTAAATTCATTTTCTTTAATATTTGTTAAATTTAAATTGCCATTATTAATTTTATTTAAAATTTTAATAATTATTTAATATTACAAAAATTACAAAAATTAAATCTGTTATAATTTAAAAATATACCTTTTTTTTTTTTTTTTAAATGACGTGTATTAAAATTAACATAGCTATTATCAATTTGTTCTTCAAGTTGTTGAACCCATAAAAATGCTCTTTGATGATTTAAGGCTGTTTTTTTAGTTATAGAAACTCCAAGAGGATTTTTCTGAAGACATCGAGGACAAATACATATAGTAGTTTCATTATCCATTTTTGAAATTATTATAATACTATGTGTATTTATAAAGTAAATTAATTATTTAATTTCTTTTTATATATAAAATACTAGGTAATTCTTATAATAAGAAAAGGCAGAAGACAAAAAAATTGTAAGCGCTAAATAACCTTTTTTTAAAATATCAAATAATCCATACAAGTTTTTGCAATAGAATTTTTACTATAACTCATGATAAAAATGATAATTAAAATCACAATATCGTAAAATGCTATGTGAGGTATCCGTATGACAAATAATATAGATTAATTTTTGAAATATTATTTATACATTATTTATACATCAAGTTATGTACATAGGTTAAATCAATGAATATCGGGTGCATACCAAGAGAAAAGTTTCCCAATATATACCTGCCATAGATTCGACAAATACTTGCTGAATATTAGCAGCACATTGGCAGCATATTTGTAAGATATTAGGAGATAGGTTGACATCGGTAATTTAACAGTACAATATTGGAATCCTGATATCTTACTTTTAGCATTCTGGGCCTAGAAGTAAGATATCAGGGTATCTCAATATATTGCTATTATTTTGCTAATATCGATTTACCACCCAAGATTTTACCAATATAATGCTGATATTCAACAGGTATTTGGCAGATATATGGCAAACCAACATGTACATATCAGGAACTTTTCTTCCGGTATGCACCTGATATTTATTGATTCAACCTGTGGTATAATGCATATGATTTAAAATTTTTTAATTATAGAAAATTGTATCACACCAAGTAATTCTAATATAGCTAACTTATTCTTCACCATTTACTATGTATATACATAGTCGTTAATAGAAATTAAACAGATCTACATTTGAAAAAAAATTAATGTCTTAATTTTTATAGCTCATATTTCGATGAATTTTAAAACTATCTTGATAATTTAATATTCAAAAGAAAGCTTATTATCTAAGCTTACTTTTGAATATTAAATTATCAAGATAACTTTAAAATTTATTAAGATATGAGCAATTAAAGTTAAGATATTAATTTTTTCAAATATAGATGTGCTTGATTTCTATTGACGCCAGCTCATATGTATCACTAGAATAGCAAGTAGGCATATAGTATAATAGTTCTAATTTCAAACTAACTCAATAAAAATTTGTTTTTTTAATATGATTATATAATATTACTAATTTGGAGCATAGCAGAGGATCCTGCATTAAGTAATATAAAAAATTACGCAAACTTTATTTATTAAGTAGAAGATTTTATAATTATTATAACAGGTAATAAGTATCACATGAGTTTTTTTTGGGTATATACCAATTATAAAAATTCTATTAACATAATAAGTAATGATTCTGCATATCAGTTGTTATTTCACTTTATATGTTCGTATAATAGGGTTTTATAACTTATAATCACTACTTTAATTATTTTTCTAGAATCTCCCTAGAATTTTTGTTATTTTCCTGGGTGCACTTTAAATTCTTACAAAATATTATTTATAATACTAGTTTTTAAAATTCTTATATATCAAATAAGATATAGCAGTACTACTTTGTTCACTAACTGAATAAAAATCATTGCTAGTTTTAAAATTTATTTGAACAGTATAGAACATGAATACATCAATAAACTATCACGCAAGTAACGTGCAATTACACAATAACAGTTATAGATGCATTTTGGTAAATATAGTTGCTTATTCTTGCACCGCAAGCCTAGAAAAAACTGGATTAATTCATACTTAACTGTTTTGTATTAGTAATTGTAGAAATATCATAATCCAAATTAATTGAAGATCAAAACTTGAATTCAGATTTTAGTATTTTTTATAGTACTTTTGACGGCATTATATTTAACCATTTCTCTAATAGTGTTTTTGGTCACAACTTTAAATTGATCATCCAATTTGTTATTAGACAGGTTTTCTGCAGGGTTATCATATGAAACAACAGGTTCTGTACGATATTACCGCTGCTATTAATTAATCTAGAAGCCTTTGAAAACAAGTCTTATTTATTAAGTGTATTATAAAAAAAACAAATATGTGTAATATATATATATAAATAAATACCGGAACAAAACTTTCTTATGAGCTAATATTCATTTTAAAGATAAAGAAGAAGGATTGTCAAAAAAAAAAAATTTATATCAAAAAAAACTTATTTATATAAATTATAAAACATTGTTATAACATTATATAAAACAAAGAATAACACTTTTTATTTTCTGCAATGAAGAATAAATCGGTAAATCCCATCAGCTCGGGCCCTGGAAAATTAGAAATTGATGTAATTACATTTATTTAAAATAAAACTCAATGAGCAACTCTCTACCAATTATGATTACAAATTGATAGATAGATAATACTGTTATTAGGCAAATTGTCAAATATAGTAATTTAATCTATGATTGACTATATATATCATGCTTATTTGCCAAATTACTATAATTCAACAATTTTTGCCCAATCATATATACTTATCATGCATTTAATTACATTCTGTATCAGACAGTTTTATATATATGATTGAAAGCCTAATGACAAGTTTTTTTTTAATTATGTTCAATAATAACAATTAAACTTTTTATTTTTACGAAGTAATTTTAATAACTATATAAATACTTATCTTTGTTTAATTTATATCTATTTATTTTCGATGGAATCCTTAAAAAAATTTATAAGCAAAATTTATTTTTATAACAATCCTGAATTAATTCCTACAGAATATCAGAATAGTGATATCTGTATTCTTTGTGAAAATGAAATATCTTCAAGCCTTTTACAACCAGTTGTAATTTTAGAATGTAAACATTTTTTTCATTATTCATGTATTACAAATAATACTTGTCCTTGTAAAAATAAAAATAGTAAAAAAAACAAACAATTAGTAACTAAAAAAAATTAGTAAAAAAATGGTGAAAGATTTAACAAAATCTAGTTTTAAGGCAGATACACCCTCATCATTTCTGAAAATTACTAAAAAAAACAAAGATTCTCCTAAAATATTATATAAAAAATTACAAAAATTTCAAGAAGAATCACAAAATAAATCAGATAAGTCTGAGTTAGAAGAAGAAAAAGAGTTAAAAAAGAAATCAGAAAAAGAAGAGTTAGAAGAAGAATCAGAAGAATTAGAAGAAGAATCAGAAGAAGAATTAGAATCAGAAGAAGAATCAGAAGAAGAATCAGAAGAAGAATCAGAAGAAGAATCAGAAGAATCAGAAAAAGAATCAGAAAAAGAATCAGAGAAAGAGTTTCAAGAAGAGCTAAATAAATCTGAAAATGAATTTGAAATAGAATCACAAGAAGAGTTGCAAGAAGATTTAGAAGAACTACAAGATGAATTAGATGAATTACAAAATCAATTAGAAGAATCACAAGAAGAACTAGAAGAACCATCAAGAAAATTGCAAAAAATACATAAAAAATCATCTAAAGAATCAAAAATTTCAAAAATATTACAGGTATAAAAAAAACAATTTTTAAGTATTAATAATTTTATTAATTATAATAGCAATATGCAAAATTTATAGAATTTACAGAATTCATTTATTACACTAATTTGAAAATAGCAACAAAATATATATAATATTATAATCTAATTTTTAATATTTATTTTAGAACAAAAAGCTTCCTCTAACATCTTTTCGAATTTCTCGTAAAGCAAAAGCACTTGCTGCAGCAAAAAATCAAAATTTATTTGAAGAAATTCTATTAGAGTTAACCACAACCGCAACCGCATCTGATGAAACAATTAGAACTATTCAAAGTACTAATAAAGGTAATAAGACTTCAGAATCAGTAGCAGAAACCTTAGCTCGATTATATCAAGATGCTTGGGTTCAGGGAATTGAAGAAGAAAAAATTATTCAAAAGACAATTTGTAGTTGGTATGATTATGCTGAGCAATTTGAAAATTATGTAAGTGAATTGGTTAATAATGGAACAAAAGATAAAACAGCACGAAACAAAATATATAATGAAATTGAGCCTTATATTTCTTTAAACTGTATGCGAAATAATTTGTGTCAAAAAACTCATAAGGCTCGCAAAATATATAGATTATTTAAAGGAATAGGTATTGACAAAATTAGACGGGTTAAAAAATATAGTGCTGATCAAATATCAAGTCTTAATATGAATAGAATTCAATCGCTTATTAATTATGTAAATAACTATACATAATTTACTTTTCTATTTTTTTATTTTCTTACTTTTTATTTTCTTGTTTTTTTTTTATATTTTTTTATTTTCTTATTTTTTATTTTCTTGTTTTTTTTTATTTTTTCATTTTTATTTTTTTATTAAATAAATTATATTTAATCATTAAGATTATTAGCAATAAATCTATTAAATAATTTAAATATCTTTATAATTGTTAAAATTCTTATTAAATTATAATCGTTAAGATTCTTAATGAGCAACATCTGAATTATGATCGTTAAGAATCTTAACGATCATATTTCAGAAATTGCAGAATTATGATCGTTAAGAATCTTAACGATCATATTTCAGAAATTGCAGAATTATGATAGTTAAGATTCTTAACGATCTATAATTCTATAATTGTAGAATTATGATCGTTAAGAATCTTAACGATCATATTTCAGAAATTGCAGAATTATGATAGTTAAGATTCTTAACGAT